TAATGCATCATCGGTCATCACAAAATTGTCCATATAATGTCATAGATAGAATTGTGCACTGGGCAACATAGAATGTAAAGTACTTAACTTAAACTATGATTAATTTCTCCAAACGATAGGATGGTTCTCACTAAAATATTCTTTTGTGTGTCAGGTACATTTTTTATCTTTTTTTGTTATAGTGAATTCACTTGACCCAATTAAAATGGTGTGAAATTACAAGATGTCCTGTAAGCCTACAGATACATTGGTAATCCTATACGGCTGCTGATATAAAGCTTGCAGTGGACAAGGTTGTTGTAAATGCTCAATGGCATGTTCAGGCATAGTGACAATCCATAGATTTTTTTAATCAGTCCATTTTTAATTTGATCATTTACTAATGGTTTTAATCAATATCTTTTGTATGATAATGCTGATATCCATGATACTTTATTACTGGTCTACTTATAGGACTCGAAAACAAACTTGAGAAAGAGTCTCAAAAAGTCTCTGTTTTGCCACTATGTGTTCAGGGATATGGTAATATCATGTTAATAAAGGAAAAACAAGTAAAAATCACAGAAAATTTCAATTACTCTACATCTACATACATCATCTACAAAGGATGAGGAGGACTTCAGAGTACTGTTAGTAATGGATGAATACACTCTGCATGCTTCAAACGTTTTATAATTCAGTTTTATTTCAACTGTCCCAGATTACCCCATTCCCAGGGCTAATTCGGGACACTTTTATTTTGCGTCTGGCACCTTATGAATGGCATATAGAATTTTTTTGGAGATGCCATACAATAGCTCTCGCAAAGGCTTTTAAAATGAGCCCAAACTTGTTTATGAAATGTTTCATGATGAAAAGTTATTGATGATAAACGCTCAAAACTGTCCTTTATTGCCATGTTTGATGGTACCTATATATAACTACCAAACATTGAGACTTTGGTTAAATGATTTTTTCAATTTTGAATTTATTTTCATTTCTTAATTTGCAAATTATAACCTTATTTGTTCACATTTTTTATAGGCATGTACTCATCATCTACTGCAGGTGCAGAGTTTGCCAAAACAGAAGTTGGTAATTTGTTTATACATACATGTAGCTGGTGCCAAAATTGGATGGCCACTGCTTGTGAATTTCTGTTGAAAAATTTGTCTACATTTTATTTGTAATTGTTCACATTTATCATTGCCAAGTTTCAAACTAAACCTAAATATGAAACAGAAACTACAAGATTTTAAATGTTTTATGTTGCAATTCTTGTGAAAGCTGGTGTTTAAATTGTCTACTCCTGAGCCACAACTGGAGCTCTGGCAGCATTTCTAGAAGTGCAGGATGTCTGCAAGGGAGATTATTTGTTGCCTCGTTATTAATAGAACTACATTATTGAGCCCTCATTCTATATAGAGCAAAATGTGTGACTTGATGGCTGTGAAATTTCAGTAAAATGTTGGACTTTGCTAATCTCAACATAATTATGTCAGTTAATAAGTCAGACATTGTCACTAACCATTGAGTACAAGAAGTAGGTACATTACTTAGTAAGTCAGAACCAAAGTACAGTAACCATTGCACACATGTACATTACTTAAAAAGTTACTCATAAAGTACAATAATAATCATTTTAATTTCAGTTTCACAGAGTTTGTGTTAAATAGATCCATATAATAGACAAAATTATGGCTAAAACTGAATTCAAACCTTATGACTTCATATTTGCTAAAGTTAAGGGATACCCACATTGGCCTGGCAGGGTAAGTCTTCAATTTATATATGAGCTTAAATGTTTTAATTACTTTGGACCTTACATATCATTGGATGAAAATCTTCACAGTTAAATTGATCAAAATGAATAATTTATTGACTCCTAGGCAGGATGTAATTTTAAATAAAACAGGGGAACATTTTTGCCAAGTTACTCAGTATTGCTTGGCAGTTTAATATCTCTAGTCAAACCTAGTCCTTGTGAAAGAAAAGATCTGCATAACATGTGCCAATAAGATTTTAATTACTACAGTATTTCGTTATTACCTCTTCACATACTCTGTTAATGCCACCTCATGATTATCTTGCTCATTGCTATGTTCATGCCATCTCATGATTATCTTGTTCATTGCTATGTTCATGCCATCTCATGATTATCTTGTTCATTGCTATGTTCATGCCATCTCATGATTATCTTGTTCATTGCTATGTTCATGCCATCTCATGATTATCTTGTTCATTGCTATGTTCATGCCATCTCATGATTATCTTGTTCATTGCTATGTTCATGCCATCTCATGATTATCTTGTTCATTGCTATGTTCATGCCATCTCATGATTATCTTGTTCATTGCTATGTTCATGCCATCTCATGATTATCTTGTTCATTGCTATGTTCATGCCATCTCATGATTATCTTGTTCATTGCTATGTTCATGCCATCTCATGATTATCTTGTTCATTGCTATGTTCATGCCATCTCATGATTATCTTGTTCATTGCTATGTTCATGCCATCTCATGATTATCTTGTTCATTGCTATGTTCATGCCATCTCATGATTATCTTGTTCATTGCTATGTTCATGCCATCTCATGATTATCTTGTTCATTGCTATGTTCATGCCATCTCATGATTATCTTGTTCATTGCTATGTTCATGCCATCTCATGATTATCTTGTTCATTGCTATGTTCATGCCATCTCATGATTATCTTGTTCATTGCTATGTTCATGCCATCTCATGATTATCTTGTTCATTGCTATGTTCATGCCATCTCATGATTATCTTGTTCATTGCTATGTTCATGCCATCTCATGATTATCTTGTTCATTGCTATGTTCATGCCATCTCATGATTATCTTGTTCATTGCTATGTTCATGCCATCTCATGATTATCTTGTTCATTGCTATGTTCATGCCATCTCATGATTATCTTGTTCATTGCTATGTTCATGCCATCTCATGATTATCTTGTTCATTGCTATGTTCATGCCATCTCATGATTATCTTGTTCATTGCTATGTTCATGCCATCTCATGATTATCTTGTTCATTGCTATGTTCATGCCATCTCATGATTATCTTGTTCATTGCTATGTTCATGCCATCTCATGATTATCTTGTTCATTGCTATGTTCATGCCATCTCATGATTATCTTGTTCATTGCTATGTTCATGCCATCTCATGATTATCTTGTTCATTGCTATGTTCATGCCATCTCATGATTATCTTGTTCATTGCTATGTTCATGCCATCTCATGATTATCTTGTTCATTGCTATGTTCATGCCATCTCATGATTATCTTGTTCATTGCTATGTTCATGCCATCTCATGATTATCTTGTTCATTGCTATGTTCATGCCATCTCATGATTATCTTGTTCATTGCTATGTTCATGCCATCTCATGATTATCTTGTTCATTGCTATGTTCATGCCATCTCATGATTATCTTGTTCATTGCTATGTTCATGCCATCTCATGATTATCTTGTTCATTGCTATGTTCATGCCATCTCATGATTATCTTGTTCATTGCTATGTTCATGCCATCTCATGATTATCTTGTTCATTGCTATGTTCATGCCATCTCATGATTATCTTGTTCATTGCTATGTTCATGCCATCTCATGATTATCTTGTTCATTGCTATGTTCATGCCATCTCATGATTATCTTGTTCATTGCTATGTTCATGCCATCTCATGATTATCTTGTTCATTGCTATGTTCATGCCATCTCATGATTATCTTGTTCATTGCTATGTTCATGCCATCTCATGATTATCTTGTTCATTGCTATGTTCATGCCATCTCATGATTATCTTGTTCATTGCTATGTTCATGCCATCTCATGATTATCTTGTTCATTGCTATGTTCATGCCATCTCATGATTATCTTGTTCATTGCTATGTTCATGCCATCTCATGATTATCTTGTTCATTGCTATGTTCATGCCATCTCATGATTATCTTGTTCATTGCTATGTTCATGCCATCTCATGATTATCTTGTTCATTGCTATGTTCATGCCATCTCATGATTATCTTGTTCATTGCTATGTTCATGCCATCTCATGATTATCTTGTTCATTGCTATGTTCATGCCATCTCATGATTATCTTGTTCATTGCTATGTTCATGCCATCTCATGATTATCTTGTTCATTGCTATGTTCATGCCATCTCATGATTATCTTGTTCATTGCTATGTTCATGCCATCTCATGATTATCTTGTTCATTGCTATGTTCATGCCATCTCATGATTATCTTGNTGGGTGACGTGTTGGGTGTGATGGGTGACGTGTTGGCTATGATTGGTGACGTGTTGGGTGTAATGAATGACGTGTTGGGTGTGATGAGTGACGTGTTGGGTGTGATGGGTGACGTGTTGGGTGTGATGAGTGACGTGTTGGGTGTGACGGGTGACGTGTTCGGTGTGACAGGTGACCTGTTGGGTGTGATGGGTGACGTGTTGGGTGTGATGAGTGACGTTGGGTGTAATGGGTGACGTGTTGGGTGTGATGCGTGACGTGTTGGGTGTGATGGATGACGTGTTGGTGTGATGGGTTACGTGTTCAGTGTGGCAGGTGACGTGTTGGGTGTGATGGGTGACGTGTTGAGTGTGATGGGTGACGTGTTGGGTGTGATGAGTGACGTGTTGGGTGTGATGAGTGATGTGTTGGGTGTGATGAGTGATGTGTTGGGTGTGATGGGTGACGTGTTCGTTGTGATGGGTGACGTGTTGGGTGTGATGGGTGACGTGTTGAATGTAATGAGTGACGTGTTGGGTGTGATGGGTGACGTGTTGGGTGTGATGTGTGACGTGTTGGGTGTGATGTTGGGTGTGATGGGTGACGTAGTGGGTGTGGCGGGTGACGTGGTGGGTGTAGTGGGCGACGTATTGGGTGTGATGGGTGACGTGTTGGGTGTGATGGGTGACGTATTGGGTGTGTTGGATGACGTGTTGGGTGTGATGAGTGACATGTTGGCTGTGATGGGTGACGTGTTGGGTGTAATGGGTGACGTGTTGGGTGTGATGAGTGACGTGTTGGGTGTAATGGGTGACGTGTTAGTCAGACGCCGACTAATGCTGATTGTCGTGGGTGAAAGCCTAGCGAAGTTCTGGCCATATAAAAACTCTTTATTTTATTTTTTATTTTTATTTTTTTTATGGTTACGTTGTGGTTGCCCGCAGGTCGCCATGTTGCCGCAGTGGCTGCAATGCTAAGACACACTAAGCCTATTGGTGTGGAGGTGAAAATGGAGGCCGCGGCCTTGATGGGGACGCCGTGGGGGGCGCTCGTGGCGGCGGCGAGGGGCGTGGGGGTCTGGCTGACGTTCCGCCGCCACGAAGCCTACGAGCCTCACGACGACCTCCTCCTGCCGCTGCACGACAGCGGGTAAGAACCTGTAGGTGCATGTAAGAATCAGTAGATGCACGTAAGAACCTGCAGATGCAGGTAAGAACCTGCAGGTGCAGGTAAGAACCTGCAGGTGCAGGTAAGAACCTGCAGGTGCAGGTAAGAACCTGCAGGTGCAGGTGATGCCGTCGAGGTTCGCGGGTTAAACCTTCAGGGCGACGGAAGGAATACAGGAGGGAAGGGGGTAGAGGGGGAGAAGCAAGGGGGGGGGGCGGAGCGTCTTGGCGAATGTAATGAGTGTCCACACCCCCGCCCCCACAGCGTATTATTATTATGTTAATAATAATTAATATAATAATATGATAATAATAAATAATATAATAAAAATTAATAAATTTTCATTGACCCTGAAATAAACCATTACAACGGATTGCTGGTCCATAACAATGGATTACTGGTCATATTCATGCCTCCCCTAACCCTCCTTTGGGACAGGGTGAAGCTGTGGGGGTTCAGAGGCTGCGTGGGCACCTCCGCTGGGGTGGCCGCCCTCGCGTCGGTGGCTAACGGCGCTGTCCTTTCCATCCGCATGGCGGCGCCCCTGGACCTCAACGCCCTCGAGAATACATACGTGTTCCTCAGTGAGTCTTGCCCAGCACGGGATGCGGCGCCCCTTGGCCCGTGGGAGCCGTACAATTATATATTGTATAATCGTAATTTATTTTAATGTTTGGTGATTATATACCTGGATAATCACCAAAAAACGAATAATCACACAACATAAACTATTAAATATATTTAGTATATTAACAATACCATTAAATAATGAATATTATTTTATATATATGTACATTATATTATGTATATATGTCCTTGGGTAAAACTGTTATCTTGCATGTTTGTTATCCTCATTTTTATCTTATTTGACCTGCGCAGGTGTGTACACGCGCCTCCTCCCTTTCCCTGGCCCCCCCTCCCCCGCGTGGTCACGTCCTCTCTCTGGGGACAGTCCCCTGCATGCAAAGCCAGGGCTGATCGTGGAAGGGGCAGATGAGGGGTCCTGGGAGGCCGTGGCCCACACCTTCACCTCCCTCGTCCCCCCTGGCAAGAGGTGCGTAGTCCCCCGACTCCCGTGGGGTGAAATGGAGTTCAATTTGTTGCACATCGTATAACAAATTAATAATTATAATTATGACATCGTCTGCAGTTTGTGCCGCTGGGGAATGACACTGCAGTTTGTGCGTCTGAGGGACTGGCACTGCAGTGTGTGCGTTTGTGGGAATGACGCTGCAGTTTGTGCGTCTGGGGGAATGACTGCAGTTTGTGCGTCTGGGGGAATGACTGCAGTTTGTGCGTCTGGGGGAATGACTGCAGTTTGTGCGTCAGGGGGTATGACTGCAGTTTGTGCGTCTGGCGGTATGACTGTAGTTTGTGCGTCTGGGGGTATGACTGCAGTTTGTGCGTCTGGAGGTATGACTGCAGTTTGTGCGTCTGGGGGTATGACTGCAGTTTGTGCGTCTGGCGGTATGACTGTAGTTTGTGCGTCTGGGGGTATGACTGCAGTTTGTGCGTCCGGGGGTATGACTGCAGTTTGTGCGTCTGGGGGTATGACTGCAGTTTGTGCGTCTGGGGGTATGACTGCAGTTTGTGCGTC